GAAGCGGCTAATCCCATTTGGCGAGTGATTACTCGCGAAAAATAGTCTCAGTTAACTATGATTTCTGGACATTGGCACCGAAATAGTCCATTTGCTTCGAAGGCGGATCAAAGTAGGGCGGTACAGCAGTCGTCATGACCGAGTCAAGCTAATTGGCGAAAAAGATGCTGCCTCTACAACTTAAAAAATGGTAACTAAAAATAATACCATAGAAAGCGCTGCAGTCAGTTTGTACGGCAAAAGGAAGGCGGAATCCGGCCTCCACTTCTGATGAAATCTTCCTTCACCGATCTTGTTGAATTTTCGCACGAAGAGATGAATAGACCTCAGTATACCATTGGATTTGAGGCTTTCGAGATTGTAAGCAGATCGTGAACAAGAACTCGACGGCCTACTCATAGCGAATACAATTAGCATTGTTCGCTGTAGCTACAAATAAACACATGCCTGCTTCAGCGAGACTATCAAAGCGTCTTGCAGTTGGCTTCAGCTGACCCTCCAAAATGCTGTCTCATTCGAGCTCGCATCCACTCCTTATCAACGCCCCCAGCGGGACTCGAATCCGAGTCGTAAATACTATGGTTACGTAACTGCAGGTGCTAGGGGATCGCAGGGAAGATGGAAAATTAAAGACAGGCCAGGCCTCTCCCAAATCACCTTTTTCTATTGGGACTGTCACTTGAGTAAGGCAAGCAATTTTTATTGCAATCGACGACGTTACTAATTCTTGTACAAGAAATTGGTCAAGCCAGGTCACTTAAGGTGACATAATTAAAATATTGCGAGTCCTCAGTACAACATCCCGCGACCTAGATGAAACGGTGCTTAGTTCCCATATATAAAAACTTTTTTCACTTTACAAGTTGACTTTCGAACCTACCAGTATACCTGAAATAAGAGCGAAATTCACTTTATTTCGTTTCGAAGTGCTATTATAGATAAATTTTCCCATGCTTCTGTCGAATTCTACATGACCTTGCTTACTAAAAGATTATATGAGATGTATTCACCCTATTTCGTTTAAGATGATAAAGGACTGACAGTAGAATTTTCCAGAATGATATGAGTAGAGGTGACGCTTCCATTGAATTGCACATAGCCTTGCTTTACCAAAAGTTGTTCTCATCCAGGCCTAAATGGACTGCAGTTTCTACCTCGCATCGGTCTTATCAACACCCCCAGAATGAGTCGAACCGTGACAATGCAGAAAGTGAGCTTGACACGTTAACCACTCAGCCACATTGCCACTAGTGCCCTTGGGTCGCAGGGCAAATGTGAATTTCAAGGAAGGCCAGGCCTTTTTCCCATAACACATTCTTTTGGTGAGATTGTCGATCAAGCAAACGTATATTTGCTATAACAATCGACTACGTTACTTATTTTTCATATGCAAGTAGAGTTTCGAAACTACCAGTCAATCAGTAATATGAGATGTATTCACCACATATCGTTTAAGGCGATAAAGGACTGGTAGTAGAATTTTCCCACAATGATATGAGTAGAGCTGATGTCATCGCCTTAAACGAAATAGGGTGAATTCCTCTCATATTACTGATTTACTTGTAGTCTCGAAACTCTACTCAAATACGAAAAATACTAAAAGGTTATATCCTTTATTTTAGGAAAAGAGATCGCAAGGGGATGATAAAGCAACAATCAGAAGCAAAGAGGAGAAGTCTTCAGTGAGCCTAATCAAAACGAGTAGGGCCACGACATTTGTGGGTTGGCACACAAGAGACTAGGACGTAGGAAGTGATGGACATGGTATCACAGAAAGAAATAGGAAAGAGGCGGTGGAGACTAAAGCTATTTGGCTAAAAAATAGTCGTGTTTGATCATAGAAGTGATCCTTGAATCACGACTATTCTTAGCCAATGAGCTCTAGCTTCCAATTTTTCTATCCTCTTTCTATCTATGATACAAAGTCTATGACTTCCTATGCCCTAGTCTCTTGTGTGCCAACCTAATCAAAGCCAGCAGTACTACAACACTTGTCGGTTGGCATGGGAAGTCATAGTCTCGGTATTACGGACAGAAACAGGATAGACGCGGCGGTGACTGGAGCTAGTCAGCTGACAGTAGGTCTGTTTTTACCATAGACATGTTCCATGTAGAAAAGGCGTGACCATGACACTTACTTTGAGGCTTTAGCCTCGAATTAATGACCCAGACGCAGGGGGAGGGCGAATAACGCCTCGAGCAGCACAGAGGGGGGGGGCAGGGGTCGAGTGAAATATGTGAATTGGGGAGAGAGTAGACGGATCTTACGGGGCAAGAGAGAGCCTGTGATAAGACCTAGGGAAGGAGGACTGCGT